TCGGGAGGTGCCGCAGGAATCCACAGGGTTCTCTCCCTTTGAACTGCTCTATGGCCGGAGAGTACGAGGACCTCTCGACCTCATCCGGGAGCACTGGGAGGGGGAGACAGAACACGACGGTGTACCCATCGTGCCATACGTATTAGAAATGCGGGACCGTATGGAGCAGTTAGCCCGGATGGCACGGGACCACCTCCATGCGGCCCAAGGGCACCAGAAACGTTGGTACGATCAGGGCGCCCGCCAGAGAACGTTCCAAGTAGGCCAGAAGGTGCTGGTACTTAGACCTGTCAAAGGGAATAAGCTCCAGACCTCCTGGCAGGACCCTTACAAAGTGGTAGCACAAGTCTGTGACACCACCTACGTAATCGCCAGCAACAAAGATGAAAGGATCCGGAAGTCCTTTCATGTAAATCTATTAAAGGAATATCAGGAAAGACCCGAGGATATAGCCGCCATATGCATACCCGCTACCGAAGACCCTGACAGCTTACCCATACCCGACCTATTAGCTAACCCAGAACCTAAAACCCAACTCAATACCGTACAGCTAGGGGAGCGGTTAACTCCCGCCGAAAAGGGACAGATCCGACAGCTGCTGACTGAGAAAGGGTTGACGTTTTCCCAAGAGCCCGGGTACACTCCCTTAGCAACCCACTATGTAGAGACCCCAGGACAAACCCCTCTCCGACAAACTCCCTATAGGATCCCTGAGGCAGTAAAAGAGGAGATGAGGAAGGAGATCCAAGAAATGTTAAGACTGGGGGTGATAGAGCCCTCAGACAGTCCGTGGGCCTCCCCGGTGGTGCTAGTTCCCAAGAAGGATGGAACCACTCGGTTCTGTGTCGATTATCGACGTCTCAATGACAGAACCGTGACAGACGCCTACCCCATGCCCCGAGTAGACGAGCTATTAGATCGCATTGCCAGGGGACGTTATCTGACCACCATCGATTTGTGCAAAGGATATTGGCAGATCCCCCTGGACAAGGAGGCTATCCCTAAGTCGGCCTTTGTCACCCCATTTGGCTTGTACCAGTTCAAAGTCATGCCATTTGGGATGAAAAACGCCCTGGCTACATTCCAGCGCTTAGTGGACCGCCTCCTTGATGGCTTCCAGGATTTCGCTTGCGCGTACCTGGATGACATTGCGATCTATAGCGAAACCTGGGGGGAGCATTTAAAGCATGTTGAAGCCGTACTGGATCAGATTCGAGCCGCAGGCTTGACTCTGAAACCAGAGAAGTGTAACTTCGGCATGGCCGAAGTCCAGTACCTGGGACACCGGGTGGGATGTGGGAAGCAGCGCCCAGAACCCGCTAAAGTTGAAGCGGTAGCTAACTGGCCCACACCCCACACCAAAACCCAGGTCCTAGCATTTTTGGGGACGGCAGGATATTATAGGAGGTTTGTCCCAGACTATAGCGCCATCGCAAAACCCTTGACAGACCTAACCAAAAAGAACTTGCCGAGGATAGTCCTGTGGTCTCCCGCCTGTGAAACCGCCTTTCAAGCCCTAAAGAATGCTCTAATTCATGCACCTGTCCTGTCTGCCCCCGTCCCTAACAAAAGATTTGTCGTCCATACAGATGCATCCATGTATGGACTGGGGGCAGTTCTAAGCCAGGTCGGTGAAGATGGAAGCGAGCACCCTGTCGCGTATCTCAGTAGAAAACTGTTACCTAGGGAAGTGAGTTACGCGGCAGTGGAAAAGGAATGCTTGGCCCTAGTCTGGGCACTAAAGAAACTCACCCCATATTTGTACGGGCAGGAATTTACTCTAATCACCGACCATAACCCTCTGGTATGGCTGAATAGAGTAGCTGGAGACAATGGACGCTTATTAAGATGGAGCCTCGCACTGCAACCCTATAACTTCTCTATCCAATACCAGCCTGGCAAATTTAATGGAAATGCCGATGGTCTGTCCAGACAAACAGAACTATTACCCTAACAAGGGACCGGACAGCCCCAAGTTGACCCGAAAAGGATCAATCCGGGTCTGCCGGGGTGTTCCACAAAAGGGGAGCAGTGTAACAGGACTTCACCAGCACCAGAGCCCTGTGGACTAAAACAGTGAAAATGTCGAAATTATTACAAGGGAATACCATTACTGGGGAATACAGCCGTTCGTATGATTTCAGACGAATTCTTTGTGTTAAGTATGGATGGCCGGCATTTCGGCACTTTACACGTGGCCGCGGCCATTTTACGTGCGAACAGCGGTGGTTGCCCGTCGATGCGTGGAACTAAAATCGGATACGCAAACAGGCGAACACCGCTGAGACCTCCATACAACCAGAACTTCGCACGGAAACTACCGAATCACGGACCATTCGGTAGTTTCACTTAATCAGTTATGGGGAATCCAGCGAACTCGGAGATAATTGTGGATGGCAAGAATTTCGTCCTTTTTTAACCGGCGAACAACAGAGACCGACTGCAGGGCCAAAACTTGTGGAACTCTTTTCGGCTAGAAAATCCGTGCAGTCGGTCAAAACTTCAAACCCCCATAACTCCCGAACCCCATAACCGAATGGGCTGAAATTTCGACAGATTGTTCCCCTAACCAAGACCTTTCAAGCGGTACTGGACTTAAAGGTGTACCCCCTGTTTTTGGGGTACATCCAGAACTAGGGTGAAAAATGG